AATGAATATTTTACCAACGAATTTTTTTATCATCGATAGTCTATCGGTAAACTAGAATTAGTGACATATTTTGTTATTATTGACAAATTTTGTCTACTACTGACAAATTTTGTTTGTCAGTAATTAATGACTTTCTTGTAGCGTATAAATGACAAAGTCTTTGCACAATACTCTCATTTGAAGAAATAATTGTACACCACATGTGATGAGTCGCTCCATGCGAGAATCCAAACCAAAGGCAGCGGAGGCAAGTGCTAGTGATTTAGCAGTAGTGGTGTAGGGGTGAAATTAATGGTGATGGTGATGTTTGAAGAGCTCTAGGTGAAGGGGAAGAACTAGCTCAGATGGCCTTCCACTGGAAGGAAGCTAGATGGAGAGGGAAAGATCATTTGGGTGACTTTTGGCAGAGTTTCGGGTGCTGGAAAATGCTTCAGCAAAGTAAAACTCATTAATCATCAAAAGTGGTTTTTACAAGTGACCTAAGGTGAATTTATAGGATATTCACCTAGCTTTGTACGGTGCTGATGAAATCAAAATATGGTGGATCACAATCCACGTGGCAAAGCAAGGAAGAAATGCTGAAATCTAGAAGCAGCACGAAATACATGTGCTAAATAAAATCTGCCATGTTGTCGTGATTTATTTCTTCTTCTCTTGATCTCTTCTATCCTTTCCCTTGTGCTGGTTTGGCCCATTATGGATCATCTAATTGGGCTCCTAGCTTCCACTCAAAACGGATGAATAAGGCTTGTCCTTCTAAGTTTAACTCTTCCAAGTCATGTTGGAGCTTTCTAGTTATGCTTCGAGTGATGGGTCCGTGATTGGTCTTGGAACCCAAGTCATCAACATGTAAGAAGGTTATTGCAAACATATTAATAATTCTAGTCAAAATGTTTTTACTTTAAAAAATATTCGTGTTACAGTGACAATGATCAAGTTGTTTTTCTTTGAAATTGTTTGTCAAAAGTTTATGACAAATTTCTAGACACAAATTTTTGTTAAAAGTTCATTATCCATAAAGGAAGTGAAAATGACTTTACTTGAAGATTGAAAAAAACAAATTACCAATTCATATAAAGAAACTATCTTCAAAGAATAAAAGAAACAAAGAAAAGTTTTCAAAGAAGATGGTATAAATTATGTAACAAAAATAAGAACAATAGATGTCATAACTAAATTGATGTGAGATATGTTCTTGAGTTTTTGCAAAAGTTTAATTTCATTAAGCATTTTATACTTTGTTGAGCATATCAAGATGAAGGTGGAGTTTACAAGTTTCTAGAGGTGCCTTAATAATTATGAAGATGGACATATTATATTAATAACCTCCAAACCTATGCGCCAAAGTTGTTTTTTAGTGTTTAATTGTTAGTCTGCGCATAATTTGAAGCTTCTCATAATGCTCTTTATAAATTGTTACATTATCTTTGTTAACATCACCGCAAAACGAGGATTTTGTAAGATGTTCATATTCTCATTTTTATTTTCCATGCTTTGAAAAATACATATTTATTTATAATAATTTTTTCTAAAAAATTCATTAAATAGACATAACACAAGTCAAATTCACATAAAGAATTAACATCATCTTTAATATAAAACCTTAAGATTTTTAATATGCTACTAACTTTTTTACATCTACTTACTTAAAGTCCTTACTTTATTATTTCCATCATCAATTCACTCAATTCCTATTATTATGAATAAAAGAAGAGCTAAATGATCTTCTTGTCATCTTGTCTCAAACTTCTCTTCACACTAAATTTCTTATTGGGACTTCCTTTTTACAAAATCTCAAACATTTCTTTTTTCATATAAAACAAGTTCCATTATATACAATAACATACTTTTGTTATCCACTTTAAAAATTCAACTCTTCGTTCTTGGCCTCATCTAATACCTCATTCTAATAATAAAGCACTTTCTAAAACATTTCTGACTTCTAAAAATGCACTTTGAATTTCATCAATAACTTTATTCGATGACTATCTTATTGTGAAGAAAAAGACGTCTTTTAAACCCATCTTTTAGTTTGTTTGCAAACTTAGGATGATAAACACACCATTTGTAACGAACAATTTAGAATTAATTTACGAAAATAACACATATATACAATAATTAGAAAGCATGTAATTGAAAAGATATCTAACCGAACTTTGTAAACGATCAACTTCAAGTTCTTACTCAGTTATGCTGCCAAAGATATGGTAAATAAGCTGGTGATGTACGTTACGATAACATATTATCGTGTGCTCCATACTTAGAGGTTTTCTATCAAAAAACAAAATCATGATTACCATCTCATGCAACCAACAAAATTCCTCCATCTACATTATGAAGCCCTATTGTCCAAATAAATCATTATCTCTTTGGTAGAGGTAACACTCCTTAATTTAGGCTTTTATATAAATCAAATTGCAAATAATAAATATATGAAATAGGGAGTATTAATTATGGTTTGTCGATAGATAATATTAAAAGCAAAGTTTTTTTTTAATCAAATCGCAGGTCTCTTTTCTTAATACGATTCTCTTTCGTAGAACCAGTTGCATTGTTTATCATTGATTTGTGAAAAAGATATATATTAGCACATTATATGAACGTTTGACTCTTTTCTAAAATTCATCTCATTATAAATCTCACATATAACTAGTAATTTATGTACAAAAATTATATTAAATTTACTTGACTTTATTATTGATTCTTATGAGACTGTAGTCGATTAAGAAAAAACGCCAAACAAAAGATTATAATAATTTAGTAGATAATAGTTTGCGTATAAAAAATTAAAAGATAATAATCCTGTATACCTAGAAACTTCAAATATCATTATAATTTTAATTATTCAGTTATTATAAAATTAATTGAATAATTTATATTTCTAATAATGATGTAAAATCGTATATATAAATGGTGCGAGGTAAATTCAAGAATAGAGATAAACGAAGGTCGTTCTCAAACTGAAGCCAACTCCCTTCTAAATGAAAGTAAAATTAAGATTAGAAAATATTGAAGTTGAATAAAAATCATACAAATCTATTTAGATGACCAGATTTAGTTAACATGCTTAATCCCTTCTGATAGATGGGTTACTTGTTGAATAATTCTTACTAATTACAAACCCTATCATGCACATGCATATAGTTGTTAAGGCGGTTTTACCATAATGAAAATTAACCATTTTTGCTTATATATTTATCCGTTGAATACAAGAGAGATGGAGTTTCAGGGAGGTCTGGCATTTCATCATGACATGAATATAGTGACAAAAGCTAAGGAAACCTTTAGCCACAATAAGTTAATGCTAAGTTTCAAAATGAAATGTCTTCTACTCCAAAACCATCTTAAGCATTTTACGACAACTAAAGCTGTCTTGTGATAACAATGCTAACAAATATACCATTGCTAGAAGGAAACCATAGATTACACGTTTGAGGTACATGCGTGTCTCAAAAACCCATATTCCTCGTTGTGACAAGCGTTTGTGTGTTGGGCTGTATACTTCATCACAATCATCACCATATATGCTACTTTCATATGATCATCGAACAAAGAAAATTTCCAGAAATACAATCATTCAAGTATTAACTGTAATTAATGTCACGATCGTGTACCTAAATATTCAATGTCAATGGTGTACAATGTTATCTACTTCAGAATTAAAAGAATAATCATGCATACAAGATTCAAGCTCACGCAACCATGTTAATAGTTTAAAACCGAAAATGATTACTAGGAGAAAATACACTGGAATATTTAAGCATTTCAATGCCAGCACTCATTATGTTTTCTTTTAATACGCAATGTGTGGGGTGTTGGATATTTTCATATGAATGATGAATTACTAGGTTTTTCGTAATTCTTAGGAATTTTCCAAAATATATAGATAAAGATATTGATGGAGCTAATGGAAGGACGACAGGAATTATAGAGAGGGAAAAAACTTTGAATTTGTGTTGTCTTGAAATATGCTCTAATTAAAGAGAGATAATATGTTGACACTCAAAAAGAATGAAATCACTTGACAACGACAACTTCATATATTAATATTTTAATTATATCTTTTTACATTTTAATATAAATTATTTTATCATTAGAATAGGTTATAAAGTGAATGTATGTTGTTTTATGTGGTGTGAAAGTATAATTTTTCAAAATTAAATAGCCAAGCACAAATCGAAATATATAATTGTTTAACTTGATTAGCTTAAACTATTTTAGAACCTTTTTCTCAATATAAAAAAAATCAAATTCAAAGTCTTATATAAAGAGAAGTTATCTTGTTGTAACTATATAAGCTAACAAACATTACGTATGACCACCATGCTGTAACTATCTAATCTAATAAACATCTACATGTATTATATGAAGCTGTTGCATTATTAATTTGAAACTTTTTTTTTATAATTATTTCAATTTATTTACTTCATTCAATCTTATTTTATTAAATTATGTACTTCGTATAGGACATTAATTTATTTGATTAATACCAATTTAGTGATCAATCAACAACTCAATTTATATATCAATAATTTTTTATTTATAAATTAATATCTAAACTGATTATAGTGATTAATTAATATTTTTTCTCTAAACACATTATAAAGAATTCTTAAATTTACATTAAAATTAGAATAAGAAGGACTAAAAAAAAGAACGAAACACATGATATACATTACATGTGCATAATATATTAATGAGAAACTCGTAGATGAACATTTTTTATGAGTATGAGAAAAAAGTCAATGATTACGGATAATCCTTTGGTATGAATACGGTAATATTTACGAAATATTTATATTTTTAGGGCATAAAGGCATGTGTATAGTATATTAATGTGAAAGTCGTACGTGAACATTTCGATACAAGTATGGAGAAAAAGTGAAAGGTTAGGGACTGATCCTTTCGTATGAATCTGGTATATATGCATAACATATCAACATCTTTTTTTTCCTTAATTTTTTTTCTTTAATTTCTTTTGTCTATAAATACACAAGCTCCCTTAACTCGTAGTTCCACACACCAAGCTACCAAAACCATTTTCATCAAAACAACAGTCTCAAAAACCTTTGAAAGAACAATATATCTATTTTCTTCTATTTTTCTGATATAATAGACAATAATGGCCCTCCTCAAACACCTCTTCTTCTCCTTCACCATTTTCATCATTTCTTTTGTTTTTTGTTATGGCAGCTTGCAAGAGGACCCACTCACCAGTATATATGTTCATCATTCACCTTCCGTTGATGATGGTGGGACATTATTCAAGAACTTCAACAAGCAAAGCGCAAATGTTTTGAGCTTAAACAGGTTTGAGAAGCGTGGCTCCCTTAAAAAGGTTAATGTCAATGATTATGGAGCTAAGAGGAATGGTGATACTGATGACTCAGAGGTACTTCAACAAAACAAAGTTTTTCTTCTTCTTCTTCTTCTTCCTTTTAGCTTGCACAGTGTCTATTATTCATAATTGGATGTGGGATATTTCAGGCTTTCAAAAAGGCTTGGGATGAAGTATGTGATTCTGGGGAAGCAATTCTTGTGGTGCCTAAGGACAATTATCTTCTCAAACCAATAAGATTCTCTGGCCCTTGCAAACCTAACATTGAAGTCCAGGTTACTTACACTGAAATTACGCTTTCTCCTCATTTATGCTTCGTCTATAACGCAAAAAAAAAAAATTGTATTGTAGACAAATTTGAAAAGAATTTTACAGATACAGGAAAATTTTATAAAAGGCATTTAGGCTAAGTTATGGAAATCAAACGACTTTAAATGAATTCACTTTGACACATGAGTCAGAAATGAAGTCGTACATCTCTAAAACGATTTCAGACTTTGTCTTGTAGTCGATTCCAGAAAGCTAAACTTGTACATAGGAGACATGACTTCATCTGAAATAGACAAAGCTCTCTAATAATTGATTATCAAAGAGTTTTAGTGTTATTACAAGGAGTTTTTTTTTTGTTATGTGGGCTATGTTCTATCTGAAATAGACAAAGCTCTCTAATAATTGATTATCAAAGAGTTTTAGTGTTATTACAAGGAGTTTTTTTTTTGTTATGTGGGCTATGTTCTTAAATTGTATGTAATTAGTAATTATTATAATTTTCATTTAAATATAAAAGAAATGTTAATTTGTATATAATTAGTAATTATTACAATTTTCATTTAAATGTAATAATAGAAATGTTAATTTGTATATAATTAGTAATTATTACAATTTTCATTTAAATGTAATAATAGAAATGTTAATTTGTATATAATTAGTAATTATTACAGTTTTCATTTAAATTTCTATAAACAATTATTAATAGAAATTTTATATTTATATAATATTTGATTTTATTTCAAACAAAACAATTTAACATAAGATAAAAAAGTATCATTACAACAATTAGAGAAGTCTTAAACATTCTTAATATGAAACATTACAAATGACATAAAATTTTAAATATACATCTATTTTTTATTTTTCTTTGTTCGAGTATGTAACTCTATGATTTGATGCCCTCGTATTGTTTAGTAAGAGTTGGGAGACGAATATCTCTACTAAACAATACGAGGATATCAAATCCTGAAGTTACATAAACGAACAAGAAAAAATAAGAAATAGATAGATATTTTATTTTTTATATTATTTGTAATGTTTTATATTAAGAATGTGTAAGACTCTCTAATGGTTGTAACATTACTATCTTATGTTAAATTGTTATGTTTGAAATAAAATCAAATATGATATAAAATATAAAATTTCTATCAATAATAATTTATATAAATCTAAATGGAAACAGTAATAATTATTAATTATATACAAATTAACATTTCTATTATTACATTTAAATCGAAATGGTAATAATTACTAATTATATACAAATTAATATTTCTATTATTATATTTAAATGAAAATTGTAATAATTATTAATTATATACAAATTAACAAACATAACCCACAAAATAAATAAAAAAACTCTTTGTTTTAACACTAAAATCCTCTAGTAACATTATGAGAGATTTTTTCTCAAGGTAAAGTCTACAACTTCACCTTTGACCCATGTGTCAAGGATGAAGTCATGAAAAGAGTACAATTTCTTCATTTGTAGTTGTATGAGCACCCTACGCCTTGCCTAAAAACTTAATTTTTTTACGTAAAATATTAATGTTTTTCAAATTTTTCGACGTGAAAAAACCCAAAAAATTTATTAGTTAGTCAGTATCTATATCAGTGACTTCTGTTAACAAAAATGAACTACTGATGTAAATTTTCAGATTTCTGGAACACTTGAAGCAGCAGATGATCCATCAGATTATGACGAGGACAGCAGACACTGGCTTGTGTTTGAAAAAATTAAGAACCTGTATGTTTATGGTGGTGGAACCCTCGATGGAAATGGCAAAGTATGGTGGGAAAACTCATGCAAAAAGAACAAAAAGCGAGTAAGATATTACGATAAGTCCAATATTATTTTATTCAGTTATTATATACCAATACTATCTACGTGTTGTGTTAATTTATATTCAAAAGAATATTGATTTATATATTTTTCTGCTTTCTTTTGCAGCCTTGCAAGGATGCTCCAACAGTATGTGTAGCTTTGTCAAAGACTATCAAGGAAATTGGATTGAAATTAATATAAAGCATATAATATACTATGTTAGCTAAATTAACGATGATTTAATTATTTTTGTTTTGTAGGCTCTGACTTTCGATAGGTGTGAGGACTTGACAGTTGAGAACTTGAACATAGAAAATGCTCAACAAATCCACGTTTCATTCCAAGACTCCGAGAATGTTAAGGTTTCTGGCCTTAACGTGAATGCACCAGAGGACAGCCCCAACACCGATGGGATTCATGTCACGAAAACAAAAAACATCCAAATCTCAGATTCTGTCATTGGAACTGGTATCCCAGATGATACAAATATTTCATTTGAGCAAACGTTTTCTTTTTTATTTTCATATAAAAAGCAATATCTGATCTTTTATAATTTTTCTCAAAAATATATAAGAAATAAAATAACATATTTATAATTACAAATAAAATAAACGACAAATGCTTATCATTCTCAAACCAAATGGTGGCAATTAAAATCTCAAATGTAAAACCAGAATAAATCATTTCACATTAAATGTTGACTGTAAAATTTTGTATATATCTTTTTTCATAGATATCATTATCATTATCATTTCAGGTGATGATTGTATATCTATTGTACATGGATCTAAAAATGTAGAAGCTACAAACATTACATGTGGACCGGGACATGGTATCAGGTAATTAGCATCACATCAACAAGTATCTCTTCAAATACTATTACAAACTTTCCATATGTTATTCTGTATTAATTATTTTATTTGCAATGGTGGGCTGTTTCAGTATCGGAAGCTTAGGTGCAGGAAAATCCAAGGATGTTGTTTCGGGAATAAAAGTGAACGGAGCCAAGATTTTTGGAACCAAAAATGGAGTTAGAATCAAGACATGGCAGGTAAAAAATAATTTGAACTTGTATATATGTGCTAAAAATGAAAGTCAACACAATCTTTTGGGTCAACCCTATATGCAGGGAGGTTCAGGAAGTGCTAGTGACATCAAGTTTCAGAACATTGAGATGAGCAACGTGACCAACCCCATAATAATAAATCAGAATTACTGTGACAAGAAAAAAAGGCCATGCCAAAAAGCGGTAAACATAAACAACACTTTTGCTAATGTTGAAACAAATTGACATGTATCATTATTATTCACGAATGATTATACATAGGGCTCGGAGAAATCCGCTGTAGAAATCAAGAATGTGGTGTACGAGAACATCAGTGGTACAAGTGCTTCTGATGTAGCTGTGAAGTTTGACTGCAGTGAGAAATTTCCATGCCAGAAGATAAAATTGCAGAACATAGACCTTGCATGTGAAGGAGGAGATGATGCTGAGGCTCTGTGTAACAATGTTGATAAGTTATCTTACATAGGACACGTTAAGCCTCGTTGCAGTAAAGAATGAAACTTTTACATACTTCTCGTATATATGAATAATACAACACGTACATAAATAAATAAATATAAGTCATTTAATTTTTGGATGGCACAATTTGGAAGTTATTTTTAACTTCTGAATTCTGCAATCTGAAAATTCATTTTTAAGAATAAAAATTGGCTTTTGAATTAGATAATTAAAAAAATAGACATTATTTTATATAGGTAGAGGAAAACAATTACAGAGGTGCATAAAGAAGCTCTCTTAGGCCCATTGTAAAATCCAGATTGACAATATCAAACCCAAATTGCTTATGGCTTCATCTCTGATTAGTAAAAAATTGTCTTGCCCTACTATTCATGTCAGATTTTAGAGAAACAATTGTTCTCTCATTTTTTATTCTTTATTCTCTATGGATTCATTAAAGATTACTTTTATTTGTTAGTAAACCTTTATTTATCGTGAAAATTTTAGATAGCATTAACTTTATTCATATGAACTTTTGAGAGAAGTTTGAAGAGGCTTAAACGAGAATAGTTATTTTATGAATTTGGAGAGATTTGCGAAAAAAGAAAGAATGAAATTACTTTAATTTAATCAGTAATTTGAGATTGAATTTTTTTTAAAAGACAGTTAAGTATTTGGAAAGAATATTGTATCACTCACTAATTCTAGACAACTCGAATATGGTTGTCTCTGTTGAATAATACATGTAATTTATAAAAAATAATAATTTGTTTCTTAGTGTTAAAAGTTATGTATAGTAAAAACAATGTTTTTGCTACCCGAATATTAAAAAAAAAAAGGAAGTTACGTTTTATAATTAAAAAATATAAAAATTATTTTTTAAATCAAAGGAGTGAGCGACGGAACCTCGCCCAATTTAATAAATCATTTTCTCTAGGATAACGTACACGTTCTTTATATTATTTTTTCATCATCCTGCGACCAAAATTCTTATAAAAATCATGATTAGTTTCAAATCCAAAATTTATACTGAAAAGGACATAGTGAATGTTTTCTAACAAAGATTTGATAAGAAGAACTAATCAATGCATTGAGTTGAGTGCCACAATTTTTGTTTGAGTTTAAAAAGAAAAATAGAAAACACGCGTTGTAAAGTTTAGAAACCACGCTACTTTTTCTTCTTCTTTCGGTTTAAGGATCAAAGTGCATGACTTGTTAAATGGAAGTTATACTTCATAAAGCTTCTAGAAATAATATTTTGGAAACTTTAACTTTTAATCATCTAACTTACTATCATAAAGCTTCATTGTTGTTGTCAATATTTGTGCAAAATAGGTTAAGAAGTTGAGAAAGTGTTAATTTTTTTTTACCAATAGAAAAGTTTAGTTCTCGGAATAAAATGCAAAACTCTCCCTTTTAACTAGTTGTTGAAGCAACGGTAAGATTCCAATAGGGGAATGAAAGAAAGCTTGGAAACTCTGTTTGGCTTTTTAATGGCATGTGTAACGGCATGGAGAACTTTTGCTTTGTACTATTGAATAGCAACTTCTTGCCATCATGCTGGTGGCATCTTTAAACACACATTTCAGATTCTATGAAAAAAGTAAAATCTAAGGGGCCAAAGTTGCAATCACCTGAAAATTTCTGGGACACAAATTAAACCTTCTCATCATGACTGCTTCCACTAACCTTCTCATAAACAACAGTGTCATGTTTGAAAAATAAATCTCTTGTAATGCTGAAAAACTGTAGTTTCCCTTTCTTAAAACAATCCCATCAACCGTTTTTCAACTAAGATAAGCTACAGACAAATAAAAAATGGCTTTAATGCTCAAAGACAAATTTTCAGATTTAATTTGGTTGATTAAAAACTGAAATACATGCATCCTTTATTTTCCCCTTCTGTTCTCTGTGAATCTCCAAGTAGTACTACTAGCATGTTACATCTTTACAAATGTTGGAAGATGTTTTGTAATATGCTCTTTTACTGGGACGATGGTGTTGAAAGAAGAAGAAATGAATGAGCAGCAATATAAAACCAAAACAGAAAGTCCAATAGCACAACTAGGTGAATCTAACATGAATATAGGTTCTGCAACTGACACAATGCTACTCTATACATCAGTTAAAGCTATGTAACTTTTCCCCAACATTTGTATCACTTGGCTAGCCAAAGCAAAGCATTTATCAACTTCTATACTGACTTACAATGTTTGTGTTAGAATAGAATGCATCTGATAAGAGCTTTTCTGATTCATTTACTTGCATCCCCTGCTGGTGCTGGTGCTTGTGCTGGTGCTGGTTTTGGTTCTTCTGGTGGAGATGGAGGTGGAAGTCCTCCATCAATGCAACTTCTACACTTCTTTTCAACCCATCCTTCAATGTCGTTCTCCCCATTGCCCCCAAAGTGCCTTCCACCACACAGTCTAGCAATCATTCCTGCAATGACACCCACTATTGTGATCACTGCTATGACCACCACAAGTGTCTCAATTGACCTATGTGAATAACGGTTTGGTTCCACCACTTTGGGTGGTGTCTCAACAAAGGGCTGCATTTCACTCCCCATCTTGAACAAAATGATTCTGCTCAACTCCAACACAGCCCTGAATATAAAGATGAAATCTTGATTGGCCCAGTTGAAAATGGTGACCCTATAATGACATATATTTATTGCAAGTTAAGCAATAAGAGAAAAATGGGGAAATGAGACAGCACAAAGTTGGATTCTGGTTTCTGAATGTCAAGCATAGAGTACACAGTAATGGTGTCAAAGTGAGTGGGGTATCATTAACTACTACTGATAAGTGAGAAAATGTGTTGTGGCTATAAAATAGGATTCCAGTGGTTATGAATACATGTCATTTTTTGTCTTTGGTCTTTTTATGTTATTATGTTGCATTTCTTTTTTGTTGGTCTGCTTTATTTGACTGGTTTCCTTGTAAAATAAAAGAAGGTGTGACTTTTGAGGTGCAAAACATAGATGAAGGCCAAAAGCTTCTGACTCCACATTAACTCGTTAATAATATATGGTTTGAAATGGGACTTATAGCTTGTCAGAGGAGTGTGGGGGTCTTGGATTCAATGGATTGCATTGCAATTTGTAACCTCAACCTCAAATTATTTGATTTCTCTTCCCTAGTTTGTCCTTTGTGATGTCACATGTTAATGTTCAATCTTTTAGTCTGTGACCCCCCAAAGAACCTAGTGATTTTGTTTGTTTTTCCTCTTGAAATTTTCCCTAGGCTTTTCCTCGCTACTAACCTTGTCTTTTATATGTCTTTAGCAATTTGAGAGTTATGAGCTCTGCATTCCCCTCTGTGACTCAAATTGGGTGGTTTGTCAAGTTGTAGAAACTTTAATGAGTACGATCACCTGAGCATTGAAGAGAAGGGACATCCTTCAATGTGACTCATCAGACACATCTGTCACCTCTACATGCATGGACCATCGTAATTTGCTTGACTCAGATATATTTGTTCTATTATCAAGATAAGAAAAACCACCATTTTTTTCTTCAAAAAACAAAATAGAGTCTATTTTGCTTTCTGTAATTTCCATATTCATTTTCATTCTTTTTGGGTAAATTTGGTTATGTTTCTCTAAGGGGTATATGGTAGATGACACTTGTGGGTGTTAGTTTACCTGTCGCTGTTTCAGGCATTAGTATTTGCATGTTGATTCAGTAGTGCAAATTAAAAATTATGACCCATATGAGGACGATTCCTCTAAAATAATCCATCTTTGAAATCTGGGATATTTTTGAAATCTTTGAAATTATATGGAGATGATTCAAAACCAACCATAAATTCATTTAAAAAAGTTGGACTTACATTAATTTAAACATCATATATTTCTAATGATGGTTAAAAACTCATGGATTCAAAATTTATAACACAAATGTATAAAAAATAAGAAAAAAGAATTTATACAATTTGTACAATAGTGGTATTGGTGGAGTAAAGTTTAGGTTAATTGTTTAAGTAGGAGAAGATTTTATGATACAAAAATTAGAGATTTCTTTTTGTGTGAAGGCTTTTTATGAAATTATACAACTTCAACATGACATGGTAAATTATTCAATTTGTCAAGGGTGTGTTACATTCAATTCTATGTTGATTCCACTCTGAATGACTATGTGGAGGGAAATTGATTCAAAGATTTGATTTGTATTGTTGGAGCAAAATTTTTTCATTATGAAACTATGTTTAGGAACGTGGAAACTCTCTTGTATATTCAATCAACTAAGCTCATAATTTATAGAATTGTCAGTAATGTTAAGAGTGATAAATTTGAAGACAAATTGATCGATAAAAGTTTCATAATTTTTTTTTGTTAAAGGAAATATATTATCTAATTTTATTCATGAGAAACAAAAATATTTTTTCTTTATGAGTATAGAGTATAAAAAGACACATACATATTTTAATGACTGTATATTATATAAGAAATAATTTTGAATGGTTGAAAAATGTTTACATCACAAATTGAAAAACAAAAATGAAAATCATAATAATGACATGATAACCCTCCATGAATGTTATGTGATATTTTCTAATCATTCCAAGGCTTAAACATCTGTTTATAAATCCAAATGTTGCTAATGAATGACATGTAAATGAAAGGAAATGTGCTGAGTTCATTCATCTAAAGTAGATTATTTGTTTTATAATAAAACAAATTGTTCTTGAATAATGTTTTATACACTATGATATTGTTCTATTATCCAATAGTTTTACATTGCTTAGGAATCGATACTAAAAGTAGTTTAAATATTTCTTCATCCTTTCATCCTCTGAGGTGTCTTTTAAGGACAAAATCATGACATAACTCTAATCTCCAAACCAGACAATATCTTGGAAAGACGATAATTTACTTTAATCATATCACTCGACAGACTTGGGATCAAAATATATACAATTCATCTACATTGTGTTTGGATGAGAAAATTTAGCAATTAAAAGAAATTGAAATACATGGTATTTAAATTATTTAAAATTTAATTATCTTCGTTTCTTAAATATTTTATTTGGATTGAGTAATTAAAATATCTTATATTCCTTTTTGTTTTTTATTTGGATAAAGCAATTTGATTTTTATTTTAAGGAAAACTTCTATTTTAAAAATACCTGAATAACTTAATTCTACCTTTTAATCTTGAACAATAATTCTTAACATTAAGTCTGACAAACTCATCCCGACCTTGGTCCGAGTTGACTCGACTTAATCTTCAGTTCAAACTGATTTGTCTTGACTTTTGATTTGGCAAACACATCTTACTTTCGACCCAAGTCAACTTGTCTTGAACTTCAATTCGTCTTGAACTTCAACTCGAACCAACTTAACTTAGGTTTTGCCTAGATCGACTTCATGCAAGGCCGACCTAGGACGACCTTCAACCACAATTTTGTTTCTAATTATATTCTTTAATTAATTATCTTTTTAAATTAAAATATTTATTTTACCTATTTCACTCTTTAAATGGACATTTTTCTAAATTTCATATTTTTTTAATTTATTGTTTTTTAAAATTTAACCATTTTTTAAACTGAAATAACTATATATAGTAAAATCATCTACAAAATAAATAAAATTTATCTATAATAAATTATAACAATTATTTATATATTTTTTATAATTATCATAATAATAATAATTTTATTATTTTTATTTTCATAAAAAAGGTAAAAACATGTGCATAACACATGTGTGTGTGTGTGTGTATATATATATATATATATATATATATATATGTTTGCTAACGCGCGTACGC